GGGCCGTTGTGCAGTCCCCTCGGCCGATTCAACCACGCCCACTTCGAAGCCGTTCAGCTCCCTTTCTAGCGGCTTTCCAAGGTGAGTTTTTTGTTCAGTCACACTTCTTATGTTCTTGACTAGGGCTAGCGCATCGTTCCACACCATTAGTGTCGAAGGTAAAAACCCTGCTGGGACTGTTGCTTTAAGCTTTGCCTATGCCTTCGCTTTACCGCTGCCACTGTCAATCGCAGGATACGAGACCCCTGTCCCCTCGAGCGCACATCGCGCTCTCTCGCATTTTCCCTCTTCTCGCAGCGCTGTCTCTCTCCGTCGCACCACGGTCAAACTCTAGGAAAATTTCGTACTTTTTCTGAAGTGCCTTTTGCTTTCATTCCCCTATAATGCTCTGTTCACACTTCTTGTCTAATTTTTGAACGAGATAACACATCAATCCGAACGCGAGCCGTCCCTTTAAATTCGCTCTTCCAGAACATGAACAATTTATCTTGAAACACCTCCTTTATGCCTTTATGTGTAATGATCTTCTATGGATAGTGCACAATCCACCTAGTCCACTATTGCCTGAAAGCAAGGTGCCGAGAAAAAAGTGGAAATAATTCATTACAAAAAACATTCGTTTTTACAAATCCTGGTTAAAAGCTGTAGTAGCAACAAGTATCCCGCTTTATTTAAGAATTATCGCTTTTGCTTACCTAATAATTATGTTCTTGCACAACATGCTAAAGAGCGTCAATGACACCAGAAATAGATATCATTTCCATCTATATACTCAAATCGAACAAAAAGAATTGAGACTTGGAACTTTGCACACACGCCTAACTGGCACAATCGATAAAAAGATCTATGCAAACAAAATAATCATCATGGAAGCCTGGACACGAAATAACATCACCAGTTTTCTGAATACAGAAGTAAATTGCTTCGAGAATTGGGTTTTAAAAACCAATTCGCACATTCCAGGAAACTTCAGGAATTGGACCTGAGCCCTCCGCTATAGACCCTTCCCAGTGAGGAATGTCTTCAGGCAGTGGTGATCCGAGAAATTTTTTGTAACTCTAATTTGGATAGGCCACTGGTGTGGTCATTTCTACGTACATTTACATCAACAAAAAAAAACACGTGATGATCGGAAATGACCAAATCGAATTTCGAACTAAATAGTTGGTAAATAGCTACACCAGTGTTAGATATCACAATCAATACGTTCTGAGTAGTCGCCACAGTTCCAAGCTTTCATAACATTTTACTTATTTCCAATTCTCGCGCTTCCTTATCCTCATCCTCATCCATGATGAGATGTTCTGCAAGCGACGATGGAATATGGTCTTCTATCCACCGCAAGTCATCCTGAAGGAAACTCATAGCATAGAAAAGCTCTGTAACTACAGGAGAAAAAATATTCAACAAAAATTGCTCTAATGGTCCCTTAACACGTTGACGACAACGCGCGTTTTGGGTTTTTGCGCCGCGTGGGACCACGGCGATTTTGCAGGCGCCGCCGCCTCACATCAAATCCGTGAATTTTGAGCTTTAAATACCCAAAACTCGGATGCAACAAAATGTTTAGAATGATATTCGATGTGTCAAACTTATCAGAAGGGACAACTGTAAAAATCGATCAAATGACTTTGTATACGCGGTTGCTACGACGAAA